TTTTTAATTTTAAATTGTAAAAAAATAAATAAAAGAAAAACGAAAGGGAGTGGTTATACCTTTTTCTTTTTGGTTTTAAATAAAAAAAATAAAATGTTATAATACTAATATAAAATTAAGAGAATAGTGAAAATGACTAAAATAACCCTCATTTAACTGGACTCAATAAAAACAGTTAATAGTCGTTAGACAGAAGGACCAAAACTATTGAAAATTGACAAACGTAAAAGGCCAAATCCGAGTTTTTAAAGGTTACAGACGATATTAGTTGAAAATTACAAACATTAGGGACCAAATTTGAACTTTACCTTTTAAATATAAGACGACATTATTTTAGTTGCAGATGTACTGGTTTGTAGTTCCAAATGTGGTGCATTTTTTATTCGATTGATATGAATAGGGTTTCCTCTGGCAACACCTATTGTAGTTCGTCGTATTTGTGTGACATAAGCTTTGTACAAATTTATAAAACGTCTTTAATTATGAATCCTTAAGAAAATACCTTTAAAACCGACTTCTTTTTCTTGCATACTACGTAGCTCCACTTGTTGCTGCTTTTCTTCGTCTGCTTCAACTGTAGAAAAAGATGAAACGCACAATGATTAAGATGTGGACGTTTTGGAGGTACGTTCGGTTTCATATTTAATTTTCTATAGAATAAATTACATTTTTCTTCTGGTTTGTTAAAAATTATGGATTTCGTCTCTATGATTTTATAATTGCAGTTCGTCCCTATGACTTGCAATTCATATTTATTTTCATTCTCGAGGCTAACTACTACTTTTAAGTATGAGAGACTAAAATAGAAATGAATTGTAAACCGCTGGTACAAAAAAAAGGAATACATTTTAAATCATACGAACGAAGATAATAATTAATTATAAACCATGGGGATGAACATAGTAATTTTTCAAAATTACAATAACGAAAATCGAAATTTACAACAGAACACAAAGACGAAAAAGATTAGTTACTCTTTTTTATATATTGATTATCTAAAAGAAGTCCTGTAATTCAACTTTTTGTTATTAGGTCGTAAACGAACCGAACGTTCAACGAACTATTCGTGAACCATTAGGCGGGAAGTTTGTTTATGTTTGTTTATTTAATAAATGAATGGACATGAACAATTTTTTTTGTTCGTTTAGTTAAACGAACAAATATGAACAAGAGTTTCATTCGTTCATTTATGTTTGTGAACGTTCGTTCATTTACCGTTCATTTACGTTTGTTTATATTCATTCGTTTATGTTCGTTTATATATTAAAGTTAATATATAATATTTTGTTTATTTACTTTGAATTCAAATAATACTTATTTATGTTTGTTTAGTTCGTTCGTTTATGTTCGTTCATGTTCGTTCGTTTAGCATGTTAACGAACGAACATAAACAAACACGAACACACCTGATTTCTCAACGAACGAACACGAACACAAAGATTTTCGTTCATTTACCGTTCGTGCTCATTCGTTTGTTCGGTTAAGTTAAACGAACGAACATGAATAAGCCTCCGTTCGTGTTCGTTTGGTTCGTTTACAACCCTATTTGTTATACATAGTCCAATAATAATAATAATAATAAGATAAATAGAATGAATACAAAGAATTAATATTATAGAACTGATGTATGTTTTCTTAGAGCTTAATAGGCTTAATGGTCTATCTGACTTATTCACATAACTTTTTTGGGTTGTTTACTTGTGACTTATTCGCACAAAACATGTCTTATTCGCAAAAATGGGAATGATGTGTTGTCCCCGTTCACTTGAAAAAAAGACACCCCTACCCCTTACAAACATGCATTCTTCCCATGCCTCCTCTTCCAGACTCCATTCGAAACCCTATCAACTTCCCACGCCTCCTCTTCCACTGTGTATCCTGAGACACCCTTGCACCTTCGTCATGACATACGACCATCTTTCCGACGACAGTCTTCTTCCTCATCAACGCCTCCCTCTTTTCCCTTGCGACCCTACACCTCATTCCTGATGGACACCTCCCTCTTTTCCCCACCTCATTGTTTGAAGTTTCTGAAGTTCGATTTCATTTTTGTAAGTCCGATTTTCTTGAAGTTCGATTTTGATTTCGATTATTCCTTTTAATCAAAACCCTCTTTACATTTTTGTTCTCCATTCCTTCTCCAAACCTAATCAAAATCTTCATCTCTCAAGTTCAGATTGTTTATGGTTCGGATTGTTCCAGATTTTGCAAGTTTTTATTGATCGTTTGTTCCAAGTTGTTCAAGTTCATATTGTTCGTTCCAGATTGTTGAATTGATGGGTAAAACGGTCATTTATATCATCTAGACGGTTAATTAGTAAAAAAATAATAAGCAACAATAACTTTATACTTAGACAGACAAAGTTAATCCATATAAGACTTATTAGAAAATTTGGTGAATAATTCTAAGAGGGTGTTTGGTTCAGGTAAATGAATGAAAATGAGAATGAAAATAAAAATGATAAGAAATAAATTACCATGTTCTCTGCTGAAATGCAAATTTAGTTTATGGAAGAATGTGTCTGTTATATCATACTAGAAGGATACTCGTGCAATGCAACGAGATACATCTTGATTTTAATATTTCATTTTATTATTTATCCTAGTCGATGTTATAGTATGGTCTTATGTGATTTTAAAAGATGATGTTTTTATTTTTGAATACAATATAAATTTGAAAATATCATAAAAATTTGACAAAAATATATCGATATTAGTATCAA